TTTTTAAAATTTTTAAATATACCTAAAAAATATAATATTTTTGAAAAAAATATTTAAAAAATTCATTAAAAACCAAAAATATATAAATAAAAAAATAGTATATTTTTTATATTCTTTTGTATTTATTGATTTTATAAAATATTTTTTACAAATATTTTACGTTTTAAATACATCTAAATAAGGTGCTTCTAAAAAAATAAAAAAATTATTTAAAATTTTAAAAATATTCACTAAAAACAAAAAATGCGAAAAACAAAAAACTTAAATTCTAATAAATTGAAACCAAACACACTGTCATTTTTTTAAACCAAAAAAGGGTTAGGGGTATAAATAAATTGAGTCAATCAAAGTAATAGGTTGTTCAAAAAATTTTTTGATAAATTTTAATAAATTTCAAAATATATACAAGTTTCCACCTTTTTTTTTTATAATATTATCTTTCAAGCTTATTCAAATGAGCTTTAATTAAAATGATTTTAAGTACATATATATTTTTATAGAGGAGAATTCCCTTTAGTCTAGATTTTGGATTAGATGGTGTTGCTTGGGCCTGTGAAGCCTATCATAGGTCTCGTTTTGATGATTCGAACCGTTTATTCTGTTGAGCATAGTGTGTATTTCATCCACAAAAAAATTTGGTCATACATTGTTCAACTTTTCACTAAAAAATAGATAACAATTGTATATTTTAAGATAAACCATACATTTTTTTAGTGAGAAACATAATAAATTGAATAAGTTATAATTATTGGACTAACGTAATTTTTGTGTAAACGAAATACACGAAGTGTCTGACAAAATAAACGGCTCGGATCATCGAAATGGGGGCCCGTGGTGGACCTTACGAGCCAAAACAACACCCTTTAGTCCAAAATCTGAACGGGAGAAAATCCACCTCCATTTTTTTGTAGTGTATATAAACTTATCGACTTGAGTGAATTTAACCCAATCCAAAAAAATTAAGGAACTTCAAAATGTACTTCTAATTTAGTTTATTTACTTAATAAATCAATTTCTAACAAATTCTTAACAAATTAAGTGCCTATTTGGCGTCACCTAAAAAAGATAAAAAACTAAAAAGTCACTAAAAAAGTAAAAAAATTTATACTATTCAAAATGTTTGGGTAGGAATATGAGGCTGAGTACTCAAATGGCAAAAAGACATTTTTGCCCTTCACTGACATGCACAGCTCACAGGTGTTTAAGGGGAAAAAAAGAGGGGGGGTCAAACACAAAACCAGTGCAGCTCAGTGCACTGTCTCGGGAAGTGACAACTTCACTGACATGCACGGAAAGCATGTCAGTGCTCAGAAGGGTAGGAAGGTAATTTTTATATTTTATACAATATTTTAATATACATTTTTTTCGGTTCGAATTATCGAAACGGGACCCATGATGGGTTTTCACAGGTCTAACAATACCCTCTAATCCGATCACGGACTGATAGAAAGCCTAGCCCAAATTATATTTTGCCATCTATCTATGTTATAAAATTAATAAACTATTTTTTATGTGATAATAATTTTTACATAATTTTGTAGATTTAATTCTAACTAAAGCGCAATTTTATCTCCAAACTAGTAACCACCGAATTAGTAATCTCATTCTAATCAGAAAAACAAACATGGGCTTATAGTTGCCCCATTGTTTATCAATTTAAAAAATTAATTAACAATGCTTCTTTAAAAATCGACCTGAAATCAAAGGGTAAAATTATTGTCTAATATAAAATGATTCCTTTTTTTATTTTTATTTTTTATTACTTGTACTACTTTACTCTTAAATTGTATTCAACTTTGTTAATGAATATTATTAATTGGATTCAATTAACATGGTACGAGAAATTAAAGAATAAATTTTAAACAATTAAAATTACAAAAATCAAATTAACAAAAAATAAATTACAAAGATCACAAATATAAAAATCAAATTAACAAAAATAAATTACAAAGATCACAAATATAAACAAATGTAAACTCTAACGAAGAGGAGAACAGAGGATAGTATCCACTCTTATGTTATTTTTATTTTTTTATTTAAAAAATCATAAGGAAAAAGTTGCGAACAATGTAGCCCGAATGCATGGGTTAAGATCATTTTTACAATCCTAACAGCTGATTTGGTTTAGATTTTTAAGATTTATTTTTTAAAAAGTTAATTTTTTTTTAATTTTTCATATATTTTTTGTTTTCACTATTTTTTTTAATATTATAATAGTTTTTTCATTGTTTTTTTATAAATTTTTAGATACACCTAACATAAGTACATTTAAAAAATATAATATTTGTGATTTTTTTTTTAAAAATTCACTAAATACCAAAAATATATATATAAGAGAATTCAATATATTTTTCATATTATTGTGTATTTATGATTTTTTACAAATATTTTACGTTTTATATACATCTAAATAAGGTGCTTCTAAAAAAATAAAAAAATTATTTAAAATTTTAAAAATATTCACTAAAAACAAAAAATGCGAAAAACAAAAAACTTAAATTCTAATAAATTGAAACCAAACACACTGTCATTTTTTTAAACCAAAAAAGGGTTAGGGGTATAAATAAATTGAGTCAATCAAAGTAATAGGTTGTTCAAAAAATTTTTTGATAAATTTTAATAAATTTCAAAATATATTCAAGTTTCCACCTTTTTTTTTTATAATATTATCTTTCAAGCTTATTCAAATGAGCTTTAATTAAAATGATTTTAAGTACATATATATTTTTATAGAGGAGAATTCCCTTTAGTCTAGATTTTGGATTAGATGGTGTTGCTTGGGCCTGTGAAGCCTATCATAGGTCTCGTTTTGATGATTCGAACCGTTTATTCTGTTGAGCATAGTGTGTATTTCATCTACAAAAAAATTTGGTCATACATTGTTCAACTTTTCACTAAAAAATAGATAACAATTGTATATTTTAAGATAAACCATACATTTTTTTAGTGAGAAACATAATAAATTGAATAAGTTATAATTATTGGACTAACGTAATTTTTGTGTAAACGAAATACACGAAGTGTCTGACAAAATAAACGGCTCGGATCATCGAAATGGGGGCCCGTGGTGGACCTTACGAGCCAAAACAACACCCTTTAGTCCAAAATCTGAACGGGAGGAAATCCACCACCATTTTTTTGTAGTGTATATAAACTTATCGACTTGAGTGAATTTAACCCAATCCAAAAAAATTAAGGAACTTCAAAATGTACTTCTAATTTAGTTTATTTACTTAATAAATCAATTTCTAACAAATTCTTAACAAATTAAGTGCCTGTTTGGCGTCACCTAAAAAAGATAAAAAACTAAAAAGTGACTAAAAAAGTAAAAAAATTTATACTATTCAAAATGTTTGGGTAGGAATATGAGGCTGAGTACTCAGATGGCAAAAAGACATTTTTGCCCTTCACTGACATGCACAGCTCACAGGTGTTTAAGAGAAAAAAAAGAGGGGGGGTCAAACACAAAACCAGTGCAGCTCAGTGCACTGTCTCGGGAAGTGACAACTTCACTGACATGCACGGAAAGCATGTCAGTACTCAGAAGGGTAGGAAGGTAATTTTTATATTTTATACAATATTTTAATATACATTTTTTTC